GTAACAGGCCCATTAAGTGTCAATCACATTAAGAGATGACAACAATTTGTTATCAGCAATATTAAGTTATGATTTTAAAAGAACTTTTCAGGGGCTGCTTGCTTATACAGCACCTCAACATCATCTTTCTTTTTCTGTTTAGTGCCAAAATGAATGAACTATGCATAGAACAAGAATGTTATTCATCGGGCTCGGAAGGACTGGCCAGCAAAATCAAGGCCGTCTCGCAGCTGGTGAAGAGGCGGCGCCAGCAGGTCGCCCAGCGGAGGACCATGCTCCGTGAAGCTGTCCGCTCTCTACTGCAGCCGGTGGAGGCTGCTGTACCAGCGCCGGCCTCCCGTCTGCCCGGCCTGGTGGCCCGCACCGCCTGGCAGAGGCTCGTCTCGGAACGTTGGCTTGTTGCCACAGATTTGACCAATGAAACATCCACAGAGGTGGCACTGCCGCATCTGCTGGCCTGCGGCGGGTGGCACGGGCCCGTGGCGTACGAGTCTCGCCTGGCGGCCGCGCCGTTCGAGCTGAGCGCTCCGGCGCCGGCCGCCGGCCGCCTGTCGCCCGGAGCGACCGTGCGCCTCATAGCGGTGCTGGACGAGCCGCCCGTCTGCGGCGGGGGCTGTCGGCTGATGCTGACGCTGGCCTCCGGTCCGGAGGAGCCGCGGCCGGCCAGCGCCGCCGGCTTCTACCAGCTGCCGGCCGGCCGCGTGACGCTGACCGCCGACCAGCGGCTGGCGCGGCGACACTCCCTGTTCAGCGGTCCAGGTCCGGACGCGGAGGCCGACGTGCAGGCGCTGTGGGCGCTGTCGGGCCGGCCCCTGCGCCTCCGCCTGCCGCGGACGGCCCATCTGCACTTGCAGGCGGCCAGGCTGCGGCTCGAGCAGGATGCCTTCATACCTGTTCTGGCGGCGCTCACTCGAGCCGAGCCAGGTGACCCGCTGTTTGGCTGCCTGGTGCTGCTGGCCGAGGAAGCCGACAACCGAGAGGCCGCCGCCGGCGCGCTGACAGCCGCGCTCTGGAGCAGGACGGAGCGGCAGATGGCGCTGCTGCTGCACCATCTGCGGCGGCTTCTGGGGTCAGCGCTGGAACTGCAGCGGCGGCCGGAGCCGGAGCCGGAGCAGGGGCAGGAGCCGGGCGCCGCCGGCGCACAGCACCTGCGGCGCGCCCTGCTGGCACAACTGCAGTTCGCCGAGGCGCACATAGGTGACAGCACTGGTGGTGGTGCCGAGCGGCGCGCACTCCGACTCGGGGATGTGCACGTGCCGCTCTCAGAGTACGGCCGCTGGAGACGGCGGCTGGCCCAGCTGGAGTTGGAGGCTGCTATGTGTGCGCTGCAGCTGGCCGAGCGGCAGCCGGCCGCTCTGTGACGCTACTCCGCGGCTGGGCGGCACAGCTGACCATGGACACCCGCGGTGTGCTAGTGAAACCGCCTTGATGGCACACACCAGCTGTGCTTGACTCTAGCGATGTGCACTGTGAACGTTGTCTGTGACTGGTGTCGTGGTCTGCCTTGCGGTTGTCTTTCGCTCATGCAGTGATGGTTAAATGGACCGGGAGGATCGTTTAGCTGACAGTGTTTGTGGGATATCGCGTGTAACGGTTGGATAAGTGCTATAAATGCCCTGTCGGCTAGCCGCCGGCGGGCGTCCGAGCAATGACCGAGCGCCAGACAGTGATGTGTGTCAGTCCTTTCTCTGGCATTTCGACACTGCGCACTGGCGAAAAAAGTGTTTGTTGGTTATGTGAACGGCAATAACTTTTCCTTTGGTTCGTTGTATCTGGAACTCATCCCGTTCATTGGCTGTATGTGTGTGTGTATCCGGTAATGCTTTAGGAGCACAAATACCAGGCCGAGTCCAGTCAGCCTAGGCCAAGGCAGAACCAGAACCAGACCGTCAAACTTGTGATCATAGGCTGCTTTCTATAGAATAAAATAGCTAACCTTTATTGAGTGATTTGGTGTCTTTTACACTGGCCATCTGCAGTCCATGCACAGTGGCTTTGGGGAGCCAACCTGGATCTCTTCAGTCTTCACTGTGGCTCTGATGAGACTGAAGAGACATCACAAAAAGGTTGACCTGCAATGGCTGTTGGGGTGCATTAATGTCTATTTTTTTCTTCAAATAAAATATTTGTTTCCATCAACTAACTTTTCTCAGTCTCTTATGCTAAGTTATCTCCAGTTCTGCTTATGGAAATTTAATTGACCCACTCCCCCTGTAACCGGTTATCTGATGGCTACGCTACGAACTTCTCCCCCGAGTCCCGACGTCCAACTCTCCTTCCGGTATTGGCTCACTTTATCGACACGTCTTGCCGGCAGCGGTAGCGCTGCGCCGCCCGGCATGACGGCGCACAACCGGCCGCAGCGAGCCGCGCCGACCATCGACCTGATAACGACGGCCCCCGGCGGCGGCGGCGGCGGCGGCGGGCGGCCGGGCAGTCCGCGCTCGGTCCCCGTCCGACTCACAGCGCCGCCGACCGCCCGCAGGCTGTTCCGCCTCGCCTCCGCCGCCGCCGCAGCAGCCATGATGATCAAAGGTACCGTGGTGGTGTACTCTATACCGGCGTGCCCGCACTGCCGCACGGCCAAGGCCACGCTGACCCAGCGCGGCCTACAGTACGTGGACGTGGACCTGGAGCGGTTTCCCCATCTGCGGCCCTGGCTGCGAGAGACGACCGGCAAGACCAGTGTGCCGCAGATCTTCTTCAACAGCAGACACATCGGCGGCAACACGAACTGCAGGACTGGTGAGTTGGCCGGGCCGGGATCCAGGTGTGGGGTGAAAATCGCTTACTTGTTCAGTATGCGGCGTTGTAAATGCATTATTCAGTAGCGCATTACGTATGTCGTTATGGCGCATCACGATAGCGCCTTACGCTTGTCGACAACTAAGCTTCGCTGATGCATAAGTACGTTCTATTTGTTTCTTTGCTTTTTTGCTCTAAGGTAAGATATTTTGTGGCATGCGAGAAAAAGTGAGTGTGCGTAACATTTCATGTCCAGGGGACATATTCCTCAGTCGGCCACATATCCCAGTCCGTCTGCGCTCCATTTCCTTGTGTGCCTCTTATTAGACTGGCTGCTACCGACGGAGGGCAGCGGCTAGTGCCGTGATCGGCCTATTGCATTCAGCGGATATCGACAGCGGTCGAGGTCAACGCCCAACGGACGGGCTGCAAAATGCAGCGGTCACCGCAAGGCGCCGGGAACTAGCTTTCATTTGGTATCACATTGCCCAAACATAGAGCTTAAATTGCTCAAATGGATACGGCTACCGTTTCCAAATGGGAACTTGCATTTGTGATGCAAATTGTATTGGTTGCGTTGCATAATGCATATACGCTGCACTGCCGGTGTCATTCGTTACCACATCTGGAAGGCATTACCGCCAATGAAAGTGAGGGCATCGCAATGAACCGTGTTTTTGACTCATCGAACTTTCTACACGCCATTTGGAGAAACCCAACACGGTTGCAAGGTAGTTACTGCGCAATGTGCAATTAATAAGGCACCTCCCATTCGTGCACGTCACGTTTGTCGGGTTGGCATTTTCCCCCAGTGGGAAAGTCGGAGTTGTTTTGTCATGCTTCCTTTATCTTGTTTCTAGCGCATTCGCGCAGGTACTAGTGATTGTCTTCACAGTTCACGGTTGGTCTATCGTCTGCGAGTCATTATCATGTGCGTTCATTATCTGTGCGCATGGCACGTGGATTGCGCACTTTGGTCTTCGGTGGGGCGGCGCTCATCGCTCGTCTAGTCACCGTGACTAACCTGTTCGCGTACCCCGAAGGCCGTGACTGACCTACTCACGTGCCCGAACGCACTTGCACTCTCGACGTTCGATCCCAAGGCTGTTTCAAATGGGCTAGATTCCCTTACTTAGATATCGATTTCTGGCTGCGACATCGAGTGTCTTGAAGTGGGAGATGCGTCAAGTGCGTTTGAAACCCGAGTTGAAGTGTCCTGGGCCACATGACTTGCAAAGGCCCGCTGCCGGAATCACGTGGATCAGTGTCACGATTGCTTCCCGTGTCTCGCAGTCGAGTCGAATTATTCGGCGAAAGTTGCCGAATGCTGCTTTATTCAATTACATAATAGCAAGGCTATTATGTAATAGCATAATAGGATAAACAGGTTTTGGAGTTTCACTAATCCCCAATCGTTTTTTTATCATTCGATTATTTTATCGTCACATCGCCTATCGCCAATGCTGTACCTGACTACTGAATGACTAGATCAGACTACTGAATACCGGAGGGTTCCATTATCAGTAAATCCGCCGTTGTGCCGGGTGACATTCACCTACACCTGTTTGCCCACACAGGTGGACGACGCGAGTCAGTGGGAGCAGCTCGTCACCCTTCTGGAGCAGACCGAACTCAACCCGAGCGATGCCGGCGCGCCGCGAATTCCCAAACCGGAGGAGGCCGTCACCACATCGGCACCTGGTAAGTACGGCGCTAGAGGTAACTGAGGAAAGCTTTGTCTTGGCAAGGCCATATATAGATTGTCTTGGTAGTTTTCGTAGTCCTGCAGTGGCTTCCGGCTTTTCTGCGAAAGACAAACCCCTGAGCTTGTTAAGTTTTGATTGAGGTCTCGACGCTCCTTTGTCATGGCGTAACAATCGATGCTGAATGTGGCCTCCGCTCCGTATGAAGTATACCCCCAATTATTTACGTAAAAATGCCAGAACGGCTACCGACCGAGGTATGAATCATAAACCGGCTTATTGGATCAGATCGCGGCCGTTGCATGTGTGTTGTAACTGTTGTCCCCTCCCTAGCCCCACAAGTCCCCTGATGATGAACCGCGGTATCGGTCGGTCGCTCAAACAGAGTCTGTCGACTTTTGATTGTTCCCTTTATTTCTGTCACCCCTGTAACAGTGTTGATATTTAATGGTCCCTATATGTGCGTGGCCAGCGGTCATTCTGTCCACGTGGCGCTAAGCCATTGTCCCTTTCCCTCTGACGATTATGTTTGTGCGCCGCCAGCGGCCGTGCTGCCGGTCGAGTGTGAGAAGGACGAGCTGTCCCGTCTGGCCATCGACCTGCACGACCGGTCCAACCTCATCATGGACCACCGCGTCGGCCTCTTCACCAAGATCAGGGACTCCTTCTCCGGCGAGGCCTTCGTCAACTGGATGATCAAGGAGAAGGAGAGCGGTGAGATATGATGTCCGATTGTCCCTGTCTGTCGCTGGGCTAATGATTGAGACGGTGTTTGTAGTGGTTGTGAAGGTGATCCCCCCCCCCCCCGAAGTCTCACAGTTGCTATGGTAACCAGGTTGCAGTTGTAATCGATAGACGGCATTGCTCTTTGTGTTTGTCCGGTAACGCCTTGCATGGTCGATGGTTCGGTAATTCCGGTGTGAGCACTGAGCAGTGTTGAAAGTTCTGTAGGAGACGATGCACACGCCCTACTTATGATATAGCCGCCACCAATGAAAATGGATCGGGTTTATGTGCTCAGTGTTCCAAGTCTTTGTGCCTTGTTCTGTTTCCATTTTTGTACTTAAATTGACGTTTAAAAATGGTAATGTGATTCGTCATTATCCCGGTTCCCTTCCGCGTCACCGCAGACGAGGCGAATGCCCTGGACATGGGCCAGCAGCTGATGGACAAACACTTCATCCAGAACGTCTCGGGCGGAGCCGACAGCACCAAGTTCGAGGGATCGGCCAAGGCCTTCTACAGGTCAGTCCAAACTCGCTCGCCGAGAAGACATTACGAACTTTCGGAGTGTGGTGCACTTTCACAGTTTGACCGCACGTTACGTAACTGTCCGGTGCTTCATCGATGGTTCCACCTAGCATTTATGGTCCGGAGACAATCCGATAAATCTTTTCGTAATGTCTCCCTAGGCTTTCTCTGATGTTTTTCTCATCCCTAGGATGACCGAGGACGACAACCAGGGCGCGCTGAACTCTGGCGAGACGGCCGGCTGCCCGCCGCTGCCGGCCGGAGAGCTGGCCGAGAACCTCCGAAAACTGATGCTCACCATGTACGCCGAAAACATCAGTCCCGACGGCAAGGTGGGCCACGGGAGAATGAGTTCGGAATTTCAGAAATTCAGAATTGCAGAACGAGTGCCTTACGATTGTTCATTCATATTAAACGGGATGAAATTACCATCCCAGATCAAACCTACGGAAAGCAGGTTGAGATGTCCCCTGGCGGCCAACTAACCAACTACCATTTCCCCCTCCCACCACCCCTGGCGGCCAGTCGGTGAACTACGCCGGCATCAAGGCCTCAGACAACTGGCGTAACTACGTGCGGATGGCGCGTGAGCTGCAGCGAGTCGACATCTTCGGCCTCAACCGCGAGGAGAAGCTGGCCTTCTTTATCAACGTGTACAACGCACTGGTTGTGCACGGCAACATCGCCACCGGCCACCCGACCAACGTGTGGCAGCGCTGGAAGGTAGGCGGCATGGCGGAGCAGATTAGGACGGGGAGGCCACTGTGGTGGGGTGGTTGATCGGGGGTGTGTGTGGGCTGGGATTTATGTGAGGAGTAACGCTACGGAGGTGGTATAGTGCGTCCGGGCGCGAGCAGGAAGATCGTAGTGGGGCGATAGCCAGCAATTCTTGAGCTGTGTGCATAGCAGGGTTGTGCTTGACTCATGAGTCGAGTCAGAAATTTGACTCAACTCTGACTCAAATGAGTCAGATTTGAGTCGAGTCGGATAAAATGCTGAGCTGTTGAGTTGAGTCAGAGTTGAGTCGGACAAAAATATTAAGGCGTTGAGTTGAGTCAGAGTTGAGTCAGTAAAATAACTTTTGACATTGAGTTGAGTCAAAAACATTTAGGAACATGAGTCAGCTGACTCATCTATCTAGAAACAATCTACATAAGCTTTTCATTCTCCCCCTGCTTAACAACTTAGGCCTGGCCCTGCTGCAGGATTTTTTTCACCCCCATCCCCCGCTCAACAACTTTTTTATCCGAGTCAATTTTGAGTCAACTGACTTGACTCAACAAAAATTTGAGTCAAGTTTGAGTCAACTCATATTTTCATTGAGCCGCTTGAGTCATGAGTTGAGTCAAGGGGAAAATCAGCTCCTTGTTTGAGTCAGAGTTGAGTCAGGGCTTTCTGAAGTTAAATGATGAGTCGAGTCGGCAAATTTTTTTGAGTCGAGCACAACCCTGGTGCATAGTTAGGCATTTTTACCGAGCTTTGGATATTTTCACCTCCCGTGGCATGCCTGACCTCCCGGCTCCCCACTGACTTTCCCCGTGCCCGGTCGGCAGTTCTTCAACAACACGGCCTACGTGCTGGGCGGCAGTCCGTTCACGCTGCAGGACATCGAGAACGGCGTGCTGCGCGCCAACAAGAAGGGAGTCGGCGCGCTCAGCCCCCAGTTCTCCAAGGCCGACCCGCGCCGGCGACTCTCGCTGGAGCGCGCCGAGCCCAGGATCCACTTTGCGCTAAACTGCGGCGCCAAGAGCTGCCCGCCCATCAAGACCTTCTCGGCCCAGGTGAGGATGGCAAGGGATGTGGGCGCAGTGGTGGGCGCAGGTTGAAGGACATAGAAGGTGCTGGGATTTAGGCGGTATCTTTGTTTAGTTGTGAGTAATTAAGGATTTTTTAAAATCATTCGTGTCGCGAGTTAGATGTTAAACTTGTCGACATGGAAATGAAGACAGCTATCCATTGAATCAGTTATGCGCCGTCTCCTTAATCGTGCCATATAATTTATTATTTTGCAGACCATTGACAGTGAAACGGCACTGTGTACAGTTTGTACCCTGTTGTAGCTCTGGACTGACGTGTTCGTCTCCTACACATACTCCTACTGACCCTTCCCATGTCTGTCTCGTTGCGTCTCAGAACATCCAGTCAGAGCTGGACCTGGCCTCGGCCTCCTACCTAGAGACGGACGACGGTATTCGTCTGGAGCCGGCCAAGGGCGTGGTGCACCTCTCCACGCTGCTCAAGTGGTACCGCTCCGACTTCGGAGAGGACGACAAGGAGGTGAGCGTGCGCTGAAGGCCGGCGGAGATTTACCCACGATCCGGGAATCGGGTGGGACATTTAGATGGTACTTTTGGAGCGACGAGCGAATAAGCTCCGTTTGGGAGTAAATAATTCCTCTCAAAGTTCTGATCTGGATTCTGATCGGCAACCGATATTTTGCTTCATTGTCGGCTTTTTTCCACGCATTGTTCCTGATCCAGAACTGAAAGCTGTGACATAATTGCCGACCCGTCTCCTCTACGTGCTGTCCTGAATCCTGAATTGTCGATCCGTCTAATTATTTACGTTTAGGTTATGAGCTGACTCCGTCCCGTCTTGCACAGGCTCTGACATAGGTGTAACATGATTACCGACCCGTCCCACCCCCCAGGTTCTGACGTGAGTGTAAAGTTAATGCCGACCGGTCCCGTCTCACAGGTTCTGACGTGGGTGCTGAAGCATCTCACTGGCAAGAAGGCTGAGCAGCTGAAGCAGATGCTGGACAGCGGCAACTTCAAGATCAACTACATCCCCTACGACTGGACCAATAACGCCAAGTAGGCGGCTGGCTCCTGGAGCGGTCTGCCTCGGCGGGAAGGCGCTCTTCTCCTCACAGCGGTGTCCAGAAAGGGTCAATCTAACCTCTGGAGAAGGCAGAGGGCATGGCTCTTCTGATTATCACCGTTGACTGCATGAGAGGGCAGACTCGGAGCAGGAATCGGCTATCGAGGTAGGTACCGTCTAGGCAGAACGGGGAGCTGTCCGAGCTGGGCTGGGACGGACGTTCTATATACCCTGCTGGGACGTGCCGCAGGGCCTATTTTAAGACAATTGGACTGGGGTGGCCAGGCAGTGGTGGCGCCCCTGTCTCTTGTGTGGGCGCCCCCCCCCCCCAACTTTCAATTTTACTTTCAACCAACTTCACCCCATTGTTGCTTGTAGATAAATATAAATATCTCGCCACGCCACTGCCCCGAGACGCTGTCCAGATTTTGAATCGCTTATGGCTCTGTAGTCTGTACCTATGCCAAGAAAGATGCATTGCTAACCAGTGTTGTAGCTAGTTCATAGGCGGCGGAACGGGGGGGGGGAACCTGGGCACCGTTCCCCCTTTGATTTTGGCATTAACCCTCGCCCGGCGAGGGGGGGGGTTGATGCAACCCCCCTAAGGTTTTTCGCAAATAACGTAAAAACGGCGGCGCATGGTGCCGTCAAATTTGGCATACCCTCTGGGGCAACATTTTCGCACCTTTCTTGAAAATTTGAAGTCCCAGTCTTTTCAGGTCAGGTCACCAGGTCACAAAAACCGGTACAAGGTCAGGGGAAAATTGGACTAGCTTAGCGGCAACTGAATTCCAGAGTTCGCTTAAATTGGCAACAAAGTATACCATTCGATGCGCACGGACGTCCTGAGTTCACTGGTGCGTTTATTTTTGCTCTATCTTTTTTAGGTAAAAAGTTATAAGCGAAAAACTTTTGACATGTTTTAGCAAATTTTTTGCACTCATATCCCCCAAACCCCCCTAAATCTTGACTTAGAGTCACCAAACTTTTACAGGGGCGAGATCTCCTATGGATCCACCTACTCTGTAAATTTGGCGTTTCTAAGTGCCATAGGAGCCAACACAAATCTTGAAAATGATAGTTCTTATCTGAAATATATGCTCATTAGATATTCAAGTAGGTTGCTCCTAAATATTGTAGTTCTAGCTTCAAAACATGGATGTTATGAATGTCGATAGGTTTCGCGAGGCTACACCGGCCGGATCGCCCACTGTGCAGTGGTGGTAGGGTGCCTCGTGGCGGTGGGGTGCACCAGAAACTTAGGGCGCCCCAGCACCAGCGGAACGTCACATTATGTGTTACGACGCCCCAGTAGTGGTACGGTGCCCATCACCGTTCCGTGCTTCTATCCTCAGGATACAGAAATCCTTCCCTCCACGCCGCAACCCCCCTCCGGGCTGGACAGGCAATTTTATCTCATGCAGGCTGCTCCCTTGGAGCGGCACCGCTACCGAGGGAGCGCACCCCGTAGCCGGGTGCAGTGAGTGCCTTGGGGCTGGGAGGCCTGTCCTCTGGACGGGCTCAGCCCCGGCGACTCACTATAGGGTGCCTGCCCAGACCATGTGTCTCCCCCTATGTCCTATCAGCCTTCCGGCTCTGAAATGGTCTCATTGGACCGAAAGGGCCTAACCCAACAAAACAAACAAACAGTCCCATTTCTGTAGGGCGCCCAAAGGTGGTTGGCGCCCCAATCGTGTCTGGGCGCCCCAATGTTGATAGGGCTCTTCAGTCATGGTAGGGTGCCCTATTACCGGTAATGTGTCCCAATCAAAGTAGGGCGCCACAGTTGCGGCAGGGCGCCCCCAGTAGTGAGAGGGCACCCCATTGGTGGTGGTGGCGCCTCAGTGAGCCCTTTTCCCCTGTCAACCTGAGTTGCGCCTCAAGAATGTGTCGCCTCCGTGATTGTCGGCAGCTAATATCTGTGGGTAGAAGTTTGGGCTGTTTTTCACTGGGGTGGCAAAGTAAGACTGGGGGGAAAACCGCACCACTGGGGTGGGTTTTGCCACCCCAGTTAACATGTTAAAATAGGCCCTGACGTGCCGTGTGGATGTGGAGCCGAGTGTGGAAACCGGTGTGGATCGGTCCACGGTGGTATGTGCTGAGTAGGTGGATCAGCGTGTAATCGCGCTGTCAGCTCACAGGAATGATGTGATTAGTCATATTTAGTCATAGCGGACATATTTGTCGTCTAGGGAAATGTTAGGTCAGTAGTCCACTCGTGGGTCAGTAATCCAACTCAGTTGTAGTCGCGATGATATTTCCAAACAAATTACAGTTTATGTTGCTTATGTTTTGTTAACGTGATTTTAGTCATAATGTCTCGTCCCACAGTTAAATGTGTTGAAGCACTACTGCTCTGGTTTACTGAGACTCGCTTTATTTATTTTTCCCTATTTAACACGTTATATTAATCGAGCGTTTGAATTCAGGTTGGAATTCATATACGAGTAGGTGGTTGAACCGCATGTTGCGCACCTTAACGATAAACTGCTAGTCGCCGCCCGCCGGTGGTCGATCACTAGTCATCCCAGTTGGCTCAAGCACACCAATCTGTTCAGACTGTCACCATTCGCGGCGTTCGTACTTACGACGTTTGAAACAGTAACCACGCCTGGGCTGTGATCAACGGCAATCGAAAGACAATAACACGGTAGATCGACTCCGTCCCTATCGACGCCTTAAACGATTATTGTGGTGTTAATTATTCATAATAGTTAAAACGAACGATGTGTCCATTTCGAGATGTACTATATGCGAGATCAAATGTCGCAAAGATCAGCGTTACATGTTGTTTGCACACGGTTGGTGCTGTTGTATGAAGCATAGCTCACTGCGCCCAGGTAAATAAATTACTTATACCAGCTGTGTGGTATGTTTCTGTGCAAGGTCTTGAATGTTGTTTCGCTTCCTAAACCCTCGCCGGTGCGCGTCCTTCATCATATTATTGTAGCATCCCTCGTTTGGATTCCATGCTAATCCTACCACCCTACCGGCTACCCATAGCAAAAACTCGGCCTTTTTCTGTCGAACGCGGTTCTAACTTGGACTGTTTGATGCTACCGTCGTGACCGCCGGTCGGATTTCAGCACGCCTCATTGAACACCTCCCTTTTGGCGTGATCCCTTCCACCACGGACCGAAGGTGAACGAAAGAGGGATGAGTAGTCGGCTCATGGCTGGCCGGAGGAATGATCACATGCGATAAACGGTTCCAGGACAGGGGCGGCGCTGACCCTTTGAAAGTAGGTAGGCACTTGGTAGGTAAGGCAGAAAAGCTTAATACGGAATAGGTAAAAGGGGGAAAAGACAGCCTTATTGCTCAGTCAGCTCAAGCAGCGTCATCTATGAAAACCTAACTTAAGCTTACACGTCTGCCGCCAGAGGGAAGCTAGTCTCCAAGTAGGAGTCTAGTTCGTCCAATATAATTTTTAAGAAACAATAGAATAACACAACAAGCATAACAACGCTAGGTACCCTAAACTAATGATGAAAATTGATAGCGTAAAATGTGTTTTATTTTATGATAAATGGACTAAATAAAAAGTTCAGTTTGAAAGTTAGAAGGTAGCACCTAGTCGATGTGCCGACCATCTAGACCTTTTCTACCAAAAGGCTCAATAGCCTCAACATGGCAATAGTCGATAATCTAGTAGGACGAGGTAGGCACAATTAGGCAAAGGTTTTAATCAAGTTGATGTATAATACGATATTTGTGTGACGTTTTTTGAAAAGTATAGGCAATTATCTTTCGTTTCAACACATTTTGAAGACGAAAAGAAAATATATATTTAACAAAAGCAACAGAGCAATCAAAAGCCACAGTCTAGTGAGGGTGTAGACGCAGGGGAGACGGCAAATGACGTAGGCACTGCCTACCTTGCCTATATGGGAGAACCGCCCCTGTTCCAGGATGAAATGCTATGATCGGTTTGGGATGTTCAAACTTTACCGACCAAGGGATCATCGAGCCCTGAATTAAGTGTGCTAAACATCTAGGTATATGACGTTTAAGCAGGCAATACTTACTGAACATATAAGAGCTGCAGAGATACAGGCTGTCATATTCCAGCTGCCTATATCTCAGTGGTGGGCGAATAGCTAGGTTGTTAGTATTCGTTCCGCACCGACGTCCGTGAAGTTAGCGTCGTATTCCGCGACGGATTCAGTCGCACCGTATCATGTCATATCCGATCACACAGTCTTCCCACAACCTTCTATGTAAAAGCTGATCGCGACTACCCGCAATGCAAAGGTCGTTACGTGCGTGTGAATATCCTGCGCTGTTATTCCGATTTTCCCGCAAACGCAGCATCCACCCGATTGGATGTATTATCGCTGACGCCGTTCGTGCTGTTGTAGGGGCATTCCACGTCAAGTGGGACAAAAAATGATCATTTTGAACCTCACCTCCTCCGATTTTTGCGAAACTTTGTGAAACTACTCATCTATATGTGAAAAGAAAGGAGACATATTTTTGTCAAAATATGACGTCACGTTTCCGAGATACACGTCATCAAACATTGACTTAGGCAAGGTACATTATCATCTTTAAAGCGTCATAACCATTGAAGTTTTAGACACATCACCACGAGACAAAGTGTGAAATGGAGGGAATAGGTCAGGCTTTAATTTGAGGATAACAATATTGACGTAATTAACTAATTAGTGAACTTAATTAAAATTCAAAAAATAAATTTTGATTTTCTGAAAAATGGGTACCCTTCGATTTTGCTGATTTTTACATATTTTATTCTCCTATACATTAGCTACATCATATAAAAAATCCAGAATGGGCCGACGTCTACATAACTGTCTTTTGGACTTCGTAATGTCTGGCACTCGCGTGTTTCGTTTTAACAACCAAGGAGAGGCGCTACCCGGAGATGCTTCTTTCTACCCCAAACCAAAGCAAACCTAACCTGACCTGACGTGACCTGACCTAATCTAACACGCGTAAATATGTACAGCCCTCAAGGCAGTTGCCGACTGGCCAAATGCTACCTACATACTACATAGATACGAACATTAGCCCTCGCGACAGTTGCCGGCTGGCCAGATGCTACTTAAAAAACAAATGCGTGTTAAACACTTCAGGCTGACCCACTGCGAGCCAGCGACCTTTAGATTACGAGGTGGGTACCTTCGGCACACTTACTACTAAGCCACGAAGATAGCTGGTCATCGTAAGCCAGTTTTTATGATGAAATTGGGCATTCTCCAGCCAGCGCCTCTCTTTGGTTGCAAAAAGAAAATACGCCCGACTCTCCCAGCGCTAGGGGAGAAAAGCCCGGTTTAGTCAA